AGATTGCAGTGGGCAGAAGTGCAAGAGAGAGAGAGAGAGAGAACACACAGGAGGAGGTGTATATATTGACTGAGGGGTTTATAAAACTGTAGAGTTGAAAGGGACACCCAAAGGTCATCTGGCCCAACCCCTTGCAGTGCAGGAATCACAACTAAAGCATCCCTGACAGATGACCACTTTGGGTCAGTCTGGATGATCCCCTGAGTCCCTTCCAATTCTTGGTGTCCGGTCCCCAATGAGAATCTAACGAGAGAAGCCCCACAGGCACAGCCCTCCCCTGTTGTTCCTTTCCCAGAATCCGAGTGCTCAGAGGTAGACTGCCTCTGACCCTGGAGGTTCTACATAGGCACCATGCTTATTTATTAGCCACGGACAGATCTGTCCCTTCAGGGATTTGTCTAACCCCCTCTGAGCACCCTTGTAATCTATAGCGGTCAGGAGGAGGAGGAGGCACCCATTTTGGACACCCGGTCCCAACACGTCCTCCACCCCTGCTTCAGGTACACCCCTAGCACGCCAGGGCCTCGCCAGGACACACTTTTGCCACCAAGTTTCAGCTATGAAACAAAACAAGAGTTCCCCAGATCATGTGCAAAGTGCTATCGCTGAAATCAGGGCATGCATACGGTCACAGTTCCAGAGTCAGAGACTGTGAGGGATGTGGGGCTGTGGCGGTGGGGTTGGACTCAGCGCCTCTCTCCTTTCTGTAAAGGAATATCCCTTACCCCAAGGTTCAGTGATGAAACCCTTCTGAGTCTTAAAGGGGGGGGTGTCTTTGGTCGCCCTAGCTCTGCTGCCACCTGCTGGTGAGAAGCCTTGTTGGCGTTATGGACCTGGGGACTTTTCAGCTTACAGTGGTACCTCGGGTTACAGACGCTTCAGGTTACAGATGCTTCAGGTTACAGACTCCACAAACCCAGAAATAGTACCTTGGGTTAAGAACTTTGCTTCAGGATGAGAAGAGAAATCACGCAGCAGCGGTGTGGCGGCAGTGGGAGGCCCCATTAGCTAAAGTGGTACCTCAGGTTAAGAACAGTATCAGGTTAAGAACGGACTCCGGAACAAATTAAGTTCTTAACCCGAGGTACCACTGTATTCTTCTTCTTTCTTCTTTTTAATTGGGTTTTATAAACAAGAATAATGTTTACAAATAAGCGTGCCAAGTTTTCTCATGTCATTTGTATATTAGCATAAGTAATGTGGAAAAAATATCTACAACGTATGTTTCGCTATTAGTGGTCAATGTAAAAGGTAAAAAAGGTCAAGGACCCCTGGACGGTTAAGTCCAGTCAAAGGCGACTCTGGGGTTGCGGTGCTCATCTCGCTTTCAGGCCGAGGGAGCCGGCGTTTGTCCACAGAGAGCTTTCCGGGTCATGTGCCAGCAGGACTAAACCACTACTGGCGCACGGAGGACCGTGATGAGTGCCAGAGTGCATGGACACACCATTTCCCCACCTATTTATCTACTTGCACTGGTGTGCTTTCAAACTGCTAGGTTGGCAGGAGCTGGGACAGAGCAACGGGAACTCACTCCGTCGTGGGGATTCAAACCACCGACCTTCTGATCAGCAAGCCCAAGAGGCTCAGTGGTTTCCACCATAGCGCCACGCGCATCCCTACTGGTCAATGTAGAAGTTCTTGGTCCGTGTAGTGGTTTAAACCACTAGGAAGAAGTGGGAAAGGGGGGGAAGAGGGGAATGGTGAGTGGGGAGGGGTGGTTATGCTTCTATTCTTCTACTTAGTGTATATGTGGGGTTTTGCGTCAGCGTTACTTGTGTGCGTTCTCTTACTATTAGCTTGTTGTATTTCCTTGGTGGCGAGAGAGGTTTTGGGTGGCCTAGAGTGTGGTTGGTTGTCTTTGGTTGGCTGTAGTGAGATTTGTTTTAGTGTGAGAGCGGGGTGTGTGTATTTTTGAATCAGGGAAGCCAGATGGATTCGTATGCTGTTGGCTGATTCTTGTTGTTGACTCTTTCGGCTGTGTACAGTGGTACCTTGGTTCTCAAACTTAATCCATTCCGGAAGTCCGCTCCAAAACCAAAGCGTGCCCAAACCAAGGCGCGCTTTCCCATAGAAGGTAATGCAAAACGTATTAATCTGTTCCAGACTTTTAAAAACAACCCCCCAAAACAGCCATTTAACATGAATTTTACTATCTAACGAGACGGTTGATCCATAAAATGAAAGCAATACTGTACTGTACTATGAAATAAATAAGACAGTATTGTATATGATGAAAATAAAAATTATTTTTTCTTTCTTATCTGCACTGATGATAGTCATTGTTTGCATGGGGGGCTTGTATTCATTTCTGTAGTCACACACTCACTCAATCAATCAATCAATCAGTAGCTGAACTGGGTTCCACACTGTCACAGAAACAAATGAACCGAAAAAGCCTCAAAAACAAAAACGCAAAATAAACAACAAAAACAAAAGCACCAAACTTAATCTGTTCCGGAAGTCTGTTTGACTTCCAAAATGTTCGAAAACCAAGGTGCAGCTTCTGATTGGTGCAGGCCCCCTGGAAGCAATATCCGATGACCGCGTCGGACATTTGGCTTCTGAAAAATATTCTAAAACCAGAACACTTACTTCCGGCTTTTTGGTGTTTGAGAACCAAGGTACCACTGTATGTGATAAAGGGGAACCCAACCAGGGTGAAGGAGTCTTCTTCTATTTGTCCCCATGTCAGTTTCAGTTTATTGGTTAGTTTTTCTAATAGGGCTGTCAGGTAAGGGCGCTGAGGTCCGTTTTTTTGCCTACCGTGAAACACGGTGTTTGCGCTGCCAAACATTGCATGGGGCAATTTGCAGGTGTTTGGCGCCGTTTTCGAGTGAATCGGATGACGTCAGAATTTTGGCGAGAACAGTGACCCCACGGGGGTGCTGTTCGGGTTGTGTGTGTTTTGCATTTGATAGAAGACGCCGAAATAAGCAAACGGAAACACCAGTGAGATATATCTCAGCTGCTTTTTATTCTGGGACGAAGTGGAGTCCCGCAAAAGGCAGGTCAGGTCATCATGAATGGTTAGTGATGGTCTGGAAGAAAAAAGGAAAAGTATTTTAGATATAACTCCTGATCTAGAATTAGAGGCTGGGTATAAATGATAGCATCAAATTACAGGCAAGGGGAATTCAATGGGGCAGCTTGTCAAAGGAGAAGTGTTCTGTATATGGACCCTCCCTGGAGTCGGATAATCGGTCCGGGAGCAAGGGATCTGAAGGGCTGACCCTCTGCGTAAGGTCTGTTGAACCCTTGCTTGAAACCAAACCGGTTTATTGTCATGGGTTATGTATACCGCTTGCTGGGAGGGCTCCTAACACAGGACTGCAGCAAGGTTCCTTCTGGTCCAAGGGCAGAAGGGAAATGGAGGCCATGTGCCAGACCTCCATCACTAAGAATAAATGCCAGGGCTTGCTCTCTCCTCCTCCTCCCTCCTCCTCTCTTTTCCTTCTTTGTCATGTCATTTAGACTGTGAACCTGAGAGCAGAGATGATCTGATCACTGATAACACACCCTCCAACATCTCTCTGATGAAAGTAGGGACGTCCTTTTAAATAATGGTAGTAATAATAATAATTAATAATAATAATTATACCCTGCCCATCTGACTGGGTTGCCCCAGCCACTCTGGGCAGCTTCCAGAATACAGTGGTACCTCATTTTTCAAGCATCTTGAAAGCCAAACATTTTGGTTTCCAAACACCGAAAACCCGGAAGTAATTGCTTCCGTTTTCGAATGCGCCTTGGAAGTTGAACGGCTTCCACTGTGCATTTTTCAATTTTTTTGCAACCGAACTTGCAGCCGGCCCTTTGCACCTTGGTTTTTGAACGTTACGTAAGTCAAACGGTCTTCCGGAACAGACTACGACCGAGAACCGAGGTACCACTGTATATAAAAACGCCCCTATATCAGACTGCCTGCAGACAGCTCAGGGGTCGGATAACTCCATACCCTACAACATTTCACAGATAAAAATAGGGGTGTCCTGAAGGAAAGCGGGACATTCTGGGATCAAATCAGAAACCGGGATGGCTTCTGTAAATCCGGGACTGTCCCTGCAAAATAGGGACACTTGGAGGGTCTGCTGATATTTGAATAAAAACGATTTTAGTAAGAATAATAATGATTCAACCATCACTTGCAATGGTTAGGAAGCCCAGCCAGATGGGCGGGGTATAAATAAAAAATTATTATTATTATTATTATTATTCCTGGGGCATCGACAAAAATGCCCTCCAGTAACCTCCCAGCTCTTACTCCCAAGTAAACTTTTGAATGGAAGAGCCTTAGCTCAGGGGCAGAGCAGCTGCTTGGCAGGCAGAAGGCTCCAGGCACGGCTGGGAAGAACGACCTGCCTGAACCTGCAAGTCAGTGCAGACAATAATGAGCTGAATGGACCACTGGTCTGACTCTGTAGAGGGCAGCTTCATACATGTTCCCTCCCAACCCTACAATTCTATTCTAGGAAGACCTTGGCCCCAAGGAAGGCCTTGCTTGGATAATTTGGGGCTGAGTAAAGGTAAAGGGGCCCCTGACTGTTAGGTCCAGTCGTGGCCGACTCTGGGGTTGCGGCGCTCATCTCACTTTACTGGCCGAGGGAGCCGGCATACAGCTTCCGGGTCATGTGGCCAGCATAACTAAGCCGCTTCTGGCGAACCAGAGCAGCGCACAGAAACGCCGTTTACCTTCCCGCCAGAGTGGTACCTATTTATCTACTTGTACTTTGACGTGCTTTCAAACTGCTAGGTTGGCAGGAGCAGGGACCGAGCAATGGGAGCTCACCCCGTCACGGGGATTTGAACTGCCAACCTTCTGATCGGCAAGTCCTAGGCTCTGTGGTTTAACCCACAGCGCCACCCGCGTCCTAAATCGTGCTTGGTGCATGCGCAGAAGTGCTGAATCACAACCCGTGTGTGCGCAGACGCGCTGCTGCGGGTTGCGAACGCTGTGGGTTGCAAACGTGCCTCCCGTACAAATCACATTCACATTCCGAGCATCCACTGTACTTGCATGCAGACGCTGTTTTGATTTCACATCCAGGGGGTTGGGAGGAAAAGGAAGCTTCGGAAAGGGGCTCTCCCAAATTATTTTCGATTGTCACCCCGCCGTGCTGAAATGCACTTCCAAGCATGGAGCCACGGGTGGGTCTCCTTCGCAACCGCTTACTTCCTGAATCCAGGTCTCGAAATCGGAGACGCGGGTGAAGACGGTGGGTTTCTTCAAGGCGTTGCACCCCAAGGCGGAGACAAAGCTGGCGATGCCATGGACCTCCCATCTCCCGTCAGCAGCCTTGCAGTTCAGGGGGCCGCCAGAGTCGCCCTGGAAAACGCAGCAAAAAAATAATAATAATTGGGGGTGGGCTAGATGACCGCTGGGTGTCCCTCTACAACTCTGCAATTGGAAATAAGCTGTACGGTGAAAGCGCTGAAGGGGGAGATTCTGCTTAGGATGGGGCCCCCCCCAGCTACTACCCTGAACCGAAGTCTCACCCCCAAATACTTTGCGCTTCTTTGAAACTTGCGGCTCCCCCAGGTTTTGCAGAGGCAATGCCATTTTCGCTAAATCAGACTCCCCGCTCAGAAAACAACATTGCTCTTATGGAGTATACATACTTACCCACTATACCGTATGGCGAATATAAGTCACACTTCCCCCAACCCAAATTCCGACCGTGAAAAGTTAAAGTGCGGCTTAAATTCGTGACCTTGTAAAAATTTGCCTTTACGATATCGCTGCTGAAGCATATTTACGGCAAAAACCAACAAAAAAATTTTTATTGGGAGCTTGAGGCTGTTGTGCAATTAATTCTAATGTCGTCCATCACTTTCACTGTATTTTACAGTGAAGTATTGTTTTGTTTGTTTGTTTGTTTGTTGCATTTACGGTGCTACAAACAGGTGTTTAACCCACTTGTGGGTCCTCTCTAGCAGCTGTAGGATTTTCTTCTACATTTGCCATTTACGGGTGCCTGCGGAATTTTAAGGGAGCGGCTTATATTCGGGTATTGCCTTTTTTCTTTTTCCCCACTTGAATTTTAAAGGTGCGGCTTATATTCGGGTGCGGCTTATATTCAGGCCAATACGGTACTTGCCAGAAATGTGGTTGCTGCCTTAAGCTCCCAGGAGGAAAGCTGGACTATAAATTCAGCAAGCAAACTAACAAACTAACAAGTAAGTACATTGCATTGCCCTTCATCCTAAGGGAAATAAAAGGAGGCCAGCATTTGTAAGCCACTTTTGCACCGTACATTTAAAGTTCTAGATACCACTTTGAACAGCCAGGGCTTCCGGCAAAGAATCCTGGGAACTGTAGTTTGTTAAGGTCACTGACCTTATACGGTGGTACCTTGGTTCTCAAACGCTTTGGTTCCCAAATGCCAAAAACCCAGAAGAAAGTGTTCCGGTTTTCAAACGTGTTTTGGAAACCGAACGTCCAATGCGGCTGTTGGCTATTGTTTCCGGGTGCCCACACCAATCGGAAGCCGTGCCTTGGTTTTGAACATTTCAGAAGTCAAACAGACTTTCGGAAATGATTAAGTTTGGTGCTTTTGTTTTTGCTTTTTACTTTGTGTTTTTGAGGCTTTTTCGGTTCATTTGTTTTTGTGGCTGTGTGGAACCCAGTTCAGCTACTGATTGATCGATTTTATAGTACAAGACATTGATTATTGCTTTCATTTTATGGATCAATGGTCTCGTTAGATAGCAAAATTCATGTTAAATGGCTGTTTTAAAAAGTCTGGAACGGATTAATCCATTTTGCATAATTTCTATGTGAAAGCGCACCTTGGTTTTGAAACGCTTTGGTTTTGGAACAGACTTCCAGAACGGATTAAGTTTCAGAACCAAGGTACCACTGTAGTCCTCTCCCTAAGATACAGTTCCCAGAGTTTCCCGGGAAGAATGATTGATTGTTAAACTTCTTTGGGAATGGGGTGGGGTGGGATTATTCTAGCAACACTTGGCACTCCTTAACAAACTTTACCATTTGTTTTTTTAAGTGAAAGCTTGTGAATATTTTGACAAGTGTTTGGACATGGTATTAACCTCAAGACCAGAGTATTGCTCACGAGCTTGGCTTCCTAGCTGCAGTTTAGCTACTCCTCTTCCTCCCTGTCTTGTTCTCTCGACAATCGCCCCGTGAGGCTGAGAGTGAGTGACTGCCCCTCAAGGTCACCCTGTTATGTACTGAAGTTTTCACCCTGGGCCAGCAGGGGATACTGTAGATAGTTTTCACTCAGGTCTGCATATGCAAATAAGGAATTGAAAGTGACGTTCAGTGATTGGATAGTTACAGAAAGTTGTTACTGTTGCTTTGTAGTTGAGCTCTGTATAAGCAGGCTGGCTGAACCCTTCAGTTCAGTTCTGTTCTGGCCTGTGAATAAACAAGAGCTGTCTGAAGAATCGCTGCGTCATCTGATATGTTCACCCACAACTTAACACACCCATTGAGAGCTACCTGGCTAGATGGAGGGGGTAGGATTTGAACCCGGGTCTCAGTCCGATGCTCTAACCGCTATGCCACACCGGCTCTCGACGGCCACATCTGGAGGGCTGGATGCCACAGCACATCGGCTAGCCCTGAAAGCATCTCCTCCAAGACTCTTGTTCCTCCGTCTTCCAAGGGCCAAACTCCCATTTCCCCCCCGGACTTACATTGCAGCCGGCACGGATGTCCCCTCCTGCGCAGATCATGTTTTGCCGGATGACGCCTCCCCACCAGTCCTTCTGGTTGCAGTGTTGATTGTCCACCACGGGAAGAATGGCCTGCTGGAGTTTGGATGGAAGGGGGCCGTTCGCTGCGAAGGAAGGTGCAGTTGGTCAAGGGTCAAGGGTCAGGGTGGATAAAAATCAATGGTGTTTTTTTAAAAAAATTAATAAAATACATTGGATTTTTAAAAAAATATTAAACTGGATTTTTTAAATTTAATTTTAATTTAAATTGGATTTTTGAAATAAAACGCTTTTTGAGGAGAGATCTTTCTAAAGATAGTTTTCTGTTTAAGTTATATTATAGTCCAAAGGCTGTTCATCAGGAAATAAGGATTTGTTTTAAGCTTTTCATGTGTGCTAAAACTCAGTCTAAGTTTTTTTTTTTTTTTTAAATTGTTTAACCACATTAGTTAACAAACATGGATATGTATGCTCAGTGCTTTTTTTCCTGGGGATACGCATACCCCTCAACATTTTGTGAATCTTTTACCTTTGTCCATTTACTGTATTTCCCCCCGATTTGAACTATAAAATGGTGATTTTCTTGAGTACCCTAAACATTGTTGTTTTATTTTATTCTTCTGTTATTTTTGAAAAATTAATAAATTGTTATAAAAAATAATAATAAAAGTCCACTACAGTGGTGCCCCGCAAGACGAATGCCTCGCAAGACGGAAAATTCGCTAGACGAAAGAGTTTTCCGTTTTGGAGGTGCTTCGCAAAACGAAGCTCCTATGGGCTTGCTTCGCAAGACGAAAATGTCTTGCGAGTTCCTGCGGGTTTTTTCCCCTTTCCCCCCCCTTTTTCTAAGCCGTTAAGCCGCTTATCTGCTTATCCGATAAACTGATAAGCCTCTAAAAGCCGCTAAAAGCCGCTAAAAGCCGCTAATAGTGCTAATAGCGCTAATCCGCTAATCCGTCAATGGGCTTGCTTCGCAAGACGAAAAAACCGCTAGACGAAGAGACTCACAGAACGGATTCTTTTCGTCTTGCGAGGCACCACTGTATTACGAAAGGGAGAAAGAAAGAAAGAAAGAAAGAAAGAAAGAAAGAAAGAAAGAAAGAAAGAAAGAAAAGCAGGTGTTTTGCCCTTGAGCCCGTCCCCTAAACCAAAATCCCATTCCACAGACAGGAGCGCCACTGGCCTCCCCAAGGACACAAAGCTTGTTTATATGCGTGCACCGTAGAATTGTTGGGAAGGACCCCCAAAGGTCATCTATTCTAACCCTCTTGCGATGCAGAAATCGCAGCTCAAGAATCCCCGTCAGATGGCCACCCAACCTCCGTTTTTTTAAAAAACCACTAGCCTCTGTTTTAAAACCCTCCCTCTCCAGGCCCCCTTCAGATAAGGGCGGAACCACTTACTGTACAGCCGTCCCCAGCCGCTGATGTAACAGGGGTAATCATTGGGCAACACTTCCCCTGCGGGGGGGAGGCACCCCAGCTGCACCGTGTTGCTCAGCTCCGCGGCGCGGGACAGCTTCATCAGGGCGATGTCGTTGCTGGACGGAGGCAAGCAGGAGAGAGAGAGTCAAGAGGGTGCTCTCTGGGTGGGGCAGCCCAGGCCAATCCATAGGGCCAAATGTGGTTCTGCCCCACCAGCTTCAGTTCCCCCAAACCCACTGATCTGCCTTCTGACATCTGGGTCAAGGAATAGGCCTGCCTCTCTTCCTCCTCCTTGGTACAGTGGTACCTTGGTTCTCAAAGTTAATCCGTTCCGGAAGTCCGTTCCAAAACCAAAGCGTTCCAAAACCAAGGCACGCTTTCCCATAGAAAGGAATGCAAAACAGGTTAATCCGTTCCAGACTTTTAAAAACAACCCCTAAAACAGCCATTTAACATGAATTTTACTATCTAACGAGACCATTCATACATAAAATGACAGCAGTAATCAATGTAAGGTAAAGGTAAAGGGACTCCTGACCATTAGGTCCAGTCATGGCCGACTCTGGGGTTACACGCTCATCTCGCTTTATTGGCCAAGGGAGCTGGCATACAGCTTCCGGGTCATGTGGCCAGCATGACTAAGCCACTTCTGGCAAACCAGAGCAGTGCACGGAAATGCCATTTACCTTCCCGCCGGAGCGGTACCTATTTATCTACTTGTACTTGACATGCTTTGAACTGCTAGGTTGGCAGGAGCAGGGACCGAGCAACGGGAGCTCACCCCGTCACAGGGATTCGAACCACCAACCTTCTGATCAGCAAGCCCTAGGCTCTATGGTTTAACTAACAGCGCCACCCGCTTCCCTCTAATAATCAATGTACTGTACTATAAAATAAATAAGACAGTATTGTGGATGGTGAAAATTAAAATTAATGTTTTTTCTTACCTGCACTGATGATAGTCATTGTTTGGATGGGGGCTTTTATCCATTTCCACAGTCACACAATCAATCAATCAATCAATCAATCAATGACTAGCTGAACTGGGTTCCACACAGTCACAAAAACAAATGAACCGAAAAAGCCTCAAAAACAAAAATGCAAAATAAACAGCAAAAACAAAAGCGCCAAACTTAATCCATTCCAAAAGTCCATTTGACTTCCGAAATGTTCAAAACCAAGGCACAGCTGCTGTTTGGTGCAGGCCCCCCGGAAACAATAGCTGACAGCTACATCGGACGTTCGGCTTCCGAAAAATGTTTGAAAACCGGAACACTTACTTCTGGGTTTTCAGCATTTGGGAACCAAAGCGTTTGAGAACCAAGACATTTGAGTACCAAGGCGTTTGGGAACCAAGGTACCATTGTATACTCCGAAAGGAGGAGAAGGAGGAGGAGGAGGATGGAGAGAAAATATAACTGAGTTGGCTCTGCCTGTCATTGACTCTGGCGCCATCTGCTGGTCAGCTCCCTGACTTCCAACCCACCAGTCCCAAGGGGCAAGGCCCTGAAGCTTCAGCTGGCCCAGAATGCTGGTGCCGGACTAGAGATGGGTTTATTTATTTATTTCATAAAATTTATACACCGTTTGGGGGGGGGGGGAATTAGCAGATTTTTTTTCTAAACAGCTTAACAAAACAATCACCACCATCATTATTAATTCAATTTATATAGCATCGTTTATCAGAAGATCCCAGGGCGGTGTACAGTGGTACCTCGGGTTACAGACACTTCAGGTTACATACGCTTCAGGTTACAGACTCTGCTAACCCAGAAATAGTACCTCTGGTTAAGAACTTTGCTTCAGGATGAGAACAGAAATCGTCCGGCGGCACCGGGAGGCCCCATTAGCTAAAGTGGTTCCTCAGGTTATGAACAGTTTCAGGTTAAGAACGGACCTCCAGAATGAATTAAGTGCTTAACCCGAGGTACCACTGTACAACATTAAAAACACATTGCAGAAAACCAGTGATAAAAACATAACAAAGCCATAATAAAAAGCATACAGACAGATAATAAAATAGACATCATAATAACAGTCCTCTCCATCCCAGTTTCTCAGGCCATAGATTATTTAAAGCCATAGGCCTGGGTAAAGAGGAATGGACTGGACCGCCCCTGCCCCCAAGATGGAGCCAGTTTTTAATGTTTGAAGTTTTATTCTGTTTTTGGTGTTCTGTTGGGAGCCGCCCAGAGTGGCTAGGGAAGCCCAGCCAGATGGGCGGGGTATAAATAATTTAAAAATTATTATTATTATTATTATTATTATTATTAGCCACAACTCACTTACCCACAGGCGGCACAAATAGAGATCCATTTGGGGTGCACAAAGATGTCATTCGAGTTCACAGGAATGCGCTGCTCAGTTCCTTCTTCTGCATCCATGTCATATTCACCTACCACAACTTGATATGTCCGAGATTTGCTGTGAGAGTGTAGGAGAAACAGAGAAGAGGCCATCATAGACTCATAGATTTGTAGAGTCATCTGGTCCAAACACCACCATCTCCGCAATGCAGGAAACATATCTAGCAGACGGCCATCCAAACTCTGTCCAAAAGCTTGCAGCTCTTGAAGGAGAGTCCACCACCTCTTGAGGGAGACCGTTCTACTGTCAAACAGCTTTCTTCATCAGAAAGGTCTTCCTAAGATTTAGTCGGAAATTCCTTTCTTGCAATCTGAATCCATTGGTTCGGGTCCTATCCTCCAGAGCAGCAAGACACAAGCTTGCTCTGTTTTCCACATGGCAACCCTTCAGATATTTGAAAGTGGTTCTCAGTCTCCTCTTATCCAGTCTAAACGTACCCAACTCCAGACCCTTTGTTCTACCCAGACGCTGAGGTCCAGCACCAAGGGCCTTCTGGTGGTTCCTCGCTGTGAGAAGCCAAGTTACAGGGAACCAAGCAGAGGGCCTTCTTGGTAGTGGCACCCGCCCTGTGGAACGCCCTCCCACCAGATGTCAAAGAGAACAACTACCAGATTTTTAGAAGACATCTGAAGGCAGCCCTGTTTAGGGAAGCTTTTAAAGTTTGATGCATTATTGTATTTTAATATTTTGTTGGAAGCTGCCCAGAGTGGCTGGGGAAGCCCAGCTAGATGGGTGGAGTATAAATTAAGTTGTTGTTGTTGTTGTTGTTGTTGTTGTTGTTTTCCCCCATACCCTCCATCACCCTGGTCGCTCTTCCCTGCACACCTTGCAGCTTCTCCATGCCCTCCCTAAACTGTGGTGCACCCAGAACTGGACACAGGACTTCAGGTGGGGTCTGACCAAGGCATCACGAGGCATGACCATCCCATGTCACCTGCATCCCTGATGGAAACTGATAGAATACGAAATGGACCGGTTCACCTGTCTGTAAGGCAACCAGCTCCTTCTGCCTGTAAACTCTCTCTCTCTCTCTCTCTCTCTCTCTCTCTCTCTCTCTCTCACACACACACACACACACACACACACACCGTGCCCACCCCTTACCACCTCCAAGATAGCTTACGAGATGCAGTGGGCAGCAGTCATGACCCAGTTGGGGGCGATGAGGGTGCCCCCGCAGGTGTGACGGAATTCGCCATCCTTCTCGTACTGGAGGGAGATCTGTGGGGAGGCAAGAGAGGCAGCGGGGAAGGGATTAAGACACCATCCTAGACACAGATCTGTGAAGGGAGTCAGAATATACAGTGACAGAGATCAGGATGCGGGGAGGGGGCGACCTTTGTTACTGCTATAAGAAAAAACTTTTCCTTTTCACTTACAGGGTATCCAAGAGCCCGTATAGAGTCCTTAAGTGGGTTCCCTATCAGAAAAGGGCCGACAAGAGAATACAGTGGTACCTCAGGTTAAGTACTTAATTCGTTCCGGAGGTCCGTTCTTAACCTGAAACTGTTCTTAACCTGAAGCACCACTTTAGCTAATGGGGCCTCCTGCTGCTGCCGCACTGCCGGAGCACGATTTCTGTTCTTGTCCTGAAGCAAAGTTCTTAACCTGGAGCACTATTTCTGGGTTAGCGGAGTCTCTAACCTGAAGCGTATGTAACCTGAAGCGTATGTAACCCGAGGTACCACTGTATTGAGAAGCAAAGCGTCTAGTAAGCCTGATCTTTATTAACTGTTGCAACAGGGTCCTCACTCACCACACGCAGGATGCAGAAGGGACCCTGAGCAATGGTGTGCAAGCCCCTATATAGACTTTTGAAATTGCCCACCCTGTCACTCAAGACCCACCCCCTAAAACATCATACATACATCACAGAAGGAGGCGATCTACAGCAGATATCCTGTCTGCCAGGGTACCCGATAATGGTCACTGATTGCAATACCTGGGCAGCCTGGCCATTTTTTTGTGATGGTTAATACTTTTAGTTCCTGACTCCAGGTCACAGGCTCACCCTATTCATACACAAATACGCCCTTAAGACAGGATTTGCAAGTAAAAAGACAATGGGAAGGCTTTTCCCATTTCCTCCCTCCTTGCAGAGAAATATATTGAGGTCAATTTGGGAGAGTCAAAATGGCTTCAGGATTGCTCTCCTGTACTATTTCAGACATGTGGCTTATATACCGAATTTTTTGCTCTCTAAGACTCAGTTTTTCCCTCCAAAAAATAAGGGGAAACGTGTGTGCGTCTTATGGAGCGAATGCAGGCTGCGCAGCTATCACAGAAGCCAGAACAGCAAGAGGGGTTGCTGCTTTCACTGCGCAGCGATCCCTCTTGCTGTTCTGGCTTCTGAGATTCAGAATATTTTTTTTCTTGTTTTCCTCCTCCAAAAACTAGGTGCGTCTTGTGGTCTGGCGCGTCTTATAGAGCGAAAAATACGGTACTTATGTATCTGTTTGCCTTGTACATTTATGAATTTTTTATATATATATATATATATATATATATATATTTGGGACCTTAGAATTCTTATAACATCTCTAAATTTGGGCTGTATCCCAACTGAGCTCTTATTGAAGAGAGTCCCTGTTGCACTAACTTCCCGCTTGTGGGCTTCCTAGAACAGGCATCTGGTTGGCTGCTGTGGGAACAGAGCGCTGGACTAGATGAGGGGCCCTTTGCATACCCCCCCAACATTTCTCCAATGAAATTGGAGATGTCCTAAGGGAAAGCCGGACATCCTGGGATCAAATCAGAAACCGGGACGGCTTCTGTAAATCCAGAACTGTCCCTGGAAAATTGTCCCTTGGAGAATCAGCCTTGGCCTTGACCCAGCAGGCTTTGCTTATGTCCTTATGGCTATTACTTCCAATGGGTATACTCTGAGAAGGATGAGCATTGGATAGGAGCCAGTGAGTATTTTATGCCATTGGATGCAAAAGGTTTGGAGATATTCCTCTAATTAAGTGGTATATAAGTTGTGCTGTTGATGTTGTTGTTGCTGTTTTTTTATTTTAAAAAACGGATCTAAATGTGGCACAAGATAATAGAAGGAGAAGCAGCTTCCTTACCTGCCAAGGCCAGCTGTAAGGGATGGCGTCTTCACCATTCACCACCCTGGCATTGGGGGTGTAGATAGGTGTTCCACAACTGGAGGCTGTGGGGAGAAGTCAGTGGTGGCTGTGAGTTGTGGGAGAAAGGAAGTGTTGCGTTCTGAAGGTAAAGGAAGGACTGGACCCTGATTAATACAATAGACCAGCAAGACCTCTGGGAGAAAGTGCGCTTGTCACCCCCTGGCCCAGGCCATTTTTATTAACAAAAGAACTTTTACACAGCATTTGTAAGAACCAATCAGATTTCCTCTGAGCATTTCAAAAAACCCCACGTGGGGACAAAGTCAGATCAGAGGAAGTCTCTTAACTGCAAAGAACTATTTCCTATTTGAGCATGCATTTAGGCTAAATAAAACAGGAACCAAGGAGGAATGCCTTTAGCAAACTCCGGAGGTCATAAAAGAAAGACAGGCATTTTACCACCTCCATGTGAACTCTGTTTCCTGGCCCTAAAGATTAACAAAAGCTACAGCAAAGCTACCTATCTTTATGTACCCAGGATGCCTGGTGAAGCAACTGGTCTGTGTAGAATGCTTATACGTGACTGCCAGGCATAGAGAAAATGGGGCAGAGATGCAGAGGCTTGTGGGACTGAATCAGAAATCACGTCAATGACTCAAGCCCAGTCAAAGCAATGCTTTCACCGCTGACACAATGGCTTGCTTCATTTTTCATAATTCCTCATAGCAATCCCACATGACCACCACAGGAAGGAAGGAAGGAAGGAAGGAAGGAAGGAAGGAAATCATAGACTTGTAGGACTGGAAGGGACTCCAAGTGTCATCTTGTCCAACCCCCTGCATAGCTGTCAACCGTCCCTTATTTGGCGGGAAAGCCCCTTATCCCAGTGCCGTGTCCCGCTGCTGTCCCTTATTGATGATGTCCCTTAAATTTCCCGGGTTTCAAAGGAAGCAGCTCTTCTCCTTCCCTCCCTGCCGGCCAGGGAGGAGGGAGGCTCCAACTGTGTTGCTTGGCTGCGTTGCTCACCCAATAAGGAGTCTTAAGAACGACTGGGGGGTGGAGCTTGCATGCCTTGTGCTGATCAAATCGGCCATGTTGCCTGGGGTCTCGCCTTTGCTCAGCGCTTCCCAGCGGAGAGGTGACGGTGGTTTTCCTTGCTGCATCCCCTTTGCCGGGTTGCTGTGCTGTGGGAACCACCGCTTGAGGCTTCATTTGGCTGCTGGCTGGGCTTTCTGCCTTTGGCTCGGAGGGGCTCAGAAGTTGAACATACCTGTGCTTGGAAAATCCCTTATTTTGGCTGCTGATCGCTTATTTTTGAGGCTGCTGGTCCCTTATTTTCAAATCTGTAAGTTGACAGCTATGACCCCCGGCAATGCAGCCGTCACAGCTAATAATATACAAGCAATTACTAACAGGCACAAAAACAACCCCACTTGCTCTGAAGCTTTCCTCATTTTCAAGCCTCCCTCTGATGGAGGTCTGATTCAGGAGACAGCGCCACAGCAGATGGAGTCCAGGCATCAGGCATGCTCTCTGGCCGGCCCTACCACTAGCCAGGTGGCAGATTCTGGGTGGCAAGCCCCTGAGACCAACGCCGGTTTTAGAACGGTGCTGCACATGACACTGAGCTGAGGGGGTGCAAAATTGAGAAGATCCGTTTGGGGGTGCCAAATTTTGGCTTCGCACAGGGCGCCATTTTAACGAAAGATTATCAAAGTCCGCCTCTTTGCCAGAGGACTTGCCCCTAGGTGGTTCCTCTCAAGTCTCTAAGCTACCCTACTTCTTGCCCTGAATAATTATCCCATTGCCGATGTCGAAGTAATATTCGCCTTGATAACTCATTCAGTTGGAGCATGGTGCTGATAACACCAAGGTTTCTTCCTTTTTTTAGCAATTTAATCTTTCCTGATTTTATTTTTAAATATTAGGTCCCTTCACCACAAAAAGAACAAAAGGGAAAAAACCCAGATCCCATCAATTACAAAGAAAATGTTACATGTAAAATAAAATTGTTCCATATGTTGAGACTTCCGTCATCCTCCGTATGGGTCCTTTGTTTCCTTGTTGACTGCATATTTGTATATTCTTTAACTTATCATAAATTATCGATAATCTTTGTAGCATATAGCATTGCAGAAGTTAATCCACGCACGTCAGTGATTTCATATGAGAACAATGTTCTTTTAAATATGGTCTGAATAAACCCCATTTTTTCTTAAACTTTTGGTTTGTCTGGTTCCTAATTTTTCCTGTCATCTTTGCCAATTCTACATACAGTGGTACCTCAGGTTAAGGACTGTTACGGTAAAATCTGGGTGCGGGGTTACTCTGCCACCCAGCTCGTCGGACTAAGTCCGCGGGTCCCTGCGGAAGAAAATGAGCTCAGCCGGAGACAGGAGCAAGTTCCAGGAGATCAGAGTTTATTGCGCAACAGGTTCAAGACGAGATTGAACAGCGAGAAAGGGGTGACATGAACTTTTGAAATTTCCCTCCATGTCCCAGAATACAGTGCAAAATACATCCCAGTTACATCATGAATACATTAAGAAGAGGTTGGGTTACACAGATTACATCACGAATACATTAGGAAGAGGTTGGGTTACACCGGATTAACATATGGAGGAGGGAGGGGGGAATATGCAGAGCTGGAGATATGCGCAGATAAGCACATCCTGAGAAGACAATGGTCCATGTATGCATAGTCTGTCACCTGGCATCGCTCAGAGGAAGGGCTTGGCAGAGCGATTTGACAGGATTAGGGTCTTGACACCTTGCTTGAGGGATTATGGAGGGCAGGGGAGGTGTCATGGAGTCCTAGAGAAATTGAGCAAATTGGCAAGTTGATTTTCTATGAATTTTATAGATTTTAGTCCCTTTTGACATTGGCAATTGGAAATAAATGGATATATTGTAGCGAAGAAGGTGAAGAAGAAGACATGCCCCCCCCCTTCCGTATCAGGACTTAATTCGTTCTGGAGGTCTGTTCTTAACCTGAAACTGTTCTTAACCTGAGGGACCACCTTAGCTAATGGGGCCTCCCGCTGCCGCCACACCGCTGCCACACGATTTCTGTTCTCATCCTGAAACAAAGTTCTTAACCTGAGGTACTATTTCTGGTTTTGCGGAGTCTGTAACCCGAAGTGTCTGTAACCTGAAGTACCACTATATTCAAATAATTTAACCTGCCACTCCCTTTTAGTTGGTATTTTATCTCCTTTTCACCATTTAGCTGTTAACATTCTCGCGGCAGTAGTTGCATACATGAATACCTTTCTCAGTTCCTTCAGAATATCTGCATCAAGGATGTCTAAATGAAAGGATTCCGGTCTTTGTCAAGGTTTCAGGTTCGATTCCCATATTGGACAGAAGCGTATTCCTGCATTGCAGGGGGTTGGACTAGATGACCCACAGGGTCCCTTCCCATTCTACAATTCTAGGACTCTGTGATTCTAGGCTGCCGGTCCAGCCAGCTGGCAGGAAGGTAGCCTAGGGCATCTTGTCCTTTGCATCAAGCGGCCAAGTATCTTGGGCTAAGTCATGGCTAAGTGGAGTCATGGGTGGGGCAGTTATGGGCCTCCGTGTTTTGAAAACAGGATGCTGCAAAGGCTGTCCCTGTTTTGGTTGGGAAGTGCTGGAGAGAAAAGGAGTCCCTCTTGCACGATTAGAGGCAGGGTGGGGCGAACGGTTCACTCTCGCACATTGCATGAGCAGGATGAGAGGAAGAGAGAGATTAAGACCGACGGCAAGAAGTTGCTTCGATGCATGTTGCTTTGTTGCTGAATGTTGGACGATTCAGGAGAGAGAAAAGAAAGTCCTTTGCACAGCACGTAGCTAACCTATGGAACTCCCTGCCACAGGAGGCAGCGATGGTCGCTAACTTGGATGGCTTTGCAAGGCAAATTTGTGGCTTTATAAGACAAATTCGTGCTCTGCTGTCACAGAGGCAGAATCCCGGTTGCTGGAAACTGCTGGAGGGGAGAGTGGCTCTTGTGGTCGAATCCTACTTGCGGGTTTGCAAAATAGTGGCATCTGGTTGGCCACTGTGAGAATACGATGCTGGACTGGATGGGCTGCTGGCCGGATCCAGCATAGCTCTTTTTTTCTGGGGGGACGCCGGGGGGTTGCATACCCCTAAACATTTGGTGAATCTAAGTTTGGCCTCATTGGGGGGGCAGTATTTCAATATGAGTAGGAAAATGAGAGTACCCCTAAACATTTTTTTTAAGAAAAAAAAAGCACTGGCTCTTCTTATTGGTTTATGTTAGACAGAGACACACAAACACACACACACACACACACACACACACACACACACACAGAGAGGGGGGCAGGGATCTCCTGGGTGCTGTGGCTTTCCCAATTGTCAAGGCCATATTAAAAACTAGAATATGGGACATAGATCGCCAGGAACTAATCTCAGCTGCGGAAAAAACATGTTCCCCTCTTTATTTTCGACTCTCTTGGGCGCAGGAATTTAACCTTAATTATTTGCAATTTTTGTTTAACCCGCAAGAAAGAAGGGCTTTTTCGCTGGCTAGGTTCAATACTAATCCTTCTAACCTCCTTTGGGATAGGTTTGCAGGTATGGCAGAAGGAGATAGGATCTGCCCATGCGATGCCCACCTGGTAGAAACTCTAGCTCACATGGCCTTTAAATGTAAAATGTATGATGATCTCTGCCAACAATTTTTAGACCATCTATGTATTCCATATACATAGATTCGTATAGATAAAGCTATAGTTTTCCCAGTGGTGATGTATGGAAGTGAGAGCTGGACCATAAAGAAGGCTGATCGCCGAAGAATTGATTCTTTTGAATTATGGTGCTGGAGGAGACTCTTGAGAGTCCCATGGACTGCAAGAAGATCAAACCTATCCATCCTGAAGGAAATCAGCCCTGAGTGCTCACTGGAAGGACACATCCTGAAGCTGAGGCTCCAATACTTTGGCCACCTCATAAGAAGGGAAGACTCCCTGGAAAAGACCCTGATGTTGGGAAAGATGGAGGGCACAAGGAGAAGGGGACGACAGAGCACGAGATGGTTGGACAGTGTTCTCGAAGCTACCAGCGTGAGTCTGACCAAACTGCGGGAGGCAGTGGAAGACAGGAGTGCCTGGCATGCTGTGGTCCATGGGGTCACGAAGAGTCGGACACGACTAAACGACTAAACAACAACATGTATTCCAACATGGAAACCAGAGACAGAGGTTATACGCTTCTTATTACAGGGGAGAGACCAGGAGTTCACCAAGACAGTAGCTAATTCCTCTATTTTATTTTTTGTCGCCAAAGTACGCTACAGGATCCTGCCCTTGCTGGAGACCCACAGAGATGAAATAGATTGCTCGCCTCTTCTTCCCTTTGGCAAATGACTGTGCTGTTGAAATGGCGACGAGATTGCACTGGCCTATTTAGTCTGAATGTTTGTATGGGATGCCAATAAAGGTTTGATGATGATGATGGTAAAAGAGAGAGAGAGGGAGAAAGAGATTCTTACCACCAGCCACCAACAGAACGGGTATCAACAGCACGAGCATCTTGACTGGGAGTTGCTTAGTGGCGCTGCGAAACTTTTAATACCCCTCCTTATCAGCACCAGGAAGTTTGGGTGCCCCGCACAGGTGTTGAACTCTCTCATTGCCAGCAACCAAGACCATCTGAGGGAACGTCAGCCAGGCAGTTGAAGGGAAAAAATCTACCCGCTCTTGGGGTGAGAAATCGTAGAACTGCAGAGTTCAAAAAGAACCCCAAGGGCCATCTAGTCAGCGTCCCTGCAGTGATGCTGGAATCAGGACTTTTGTGTGGTGGCCCCCTACTCCTTGGAATATATTCCTGAAAGAAATTGAGAGACAGTGTGGTGTAGTGGTGTAAGGGTTGGACTAGGAGAGACCAGGGGTCAAATCCCTACTTGGTCATGAAACTCGTTGGGTGACCTGGCAAATTGGGTGGAGGAGAACTATGTCTGCTGCTTTGAGCTCCCTGGGGGATAGAAGCTGGGATATAGACATGATACTGTAAATATGCAATGCTTTTTTCTTTAAAAAATGTTTAGCGGTACTCTCATTTTGACTCAAGAAGAACACCAATTTATAGTTCAAATCGGGGAAAATAAATACAGTAAATGAACAAAAGTACTGTGGTACCTTGGTTTAAGAATGGCCCTGTTTACGAACTATTCGGTTTACGAACTCTGCAAAACCGGAAGTAGTGTCTTGGTTTGCGAACTTTACCTCAGTCTAAGAACGGAATTTGAATGGTGGAAGGGCACCGGCAGTGGGATGCCTCATTAGGGAAAGTGTGCCTCAGTGTAAGAATGATTTCAGTCTAAGAACAGACTTCCGGAATGGATTCAGTTTGTAAACCGATGTACCACTGTACAGAGATTCACAAAATGTTTAGGGGTATGCAAACCCCTGCGTACCCCCAGAAAAAAACACTTTAAATATGTAATAAAGACATTTAAAGCAGTAATTCGGGAATTGCAGCGGGTTGGACTAGATGACACTTGTGGTCCCTATAATATAATAATATAATATAATATAATATAATATAATATAATATAATATAATATAATATAATAATAATAAAATATATACCATATTTTTTGCTCTATAAGACGCACCAGACCACAAGACGCACCTAGTTTTTGGAGAGGGAAAACAAGAAAAAAATATTCTGAATCTCAGAAGCCAGAACAGCAAGAGGGATCGCTGCACAGCGAAAGCAGTGATCCCTCTTGCTGTTCTGGCTTCTGGGATAGCTGCGCAGCCTGCATTCGCTCCATAAGACGCACACACATTTCCCCTTACTTTTTAGGAGTGAAAAGTGAATCTTATAGAGCAAAAAATACGGTATAATAAAATATAATAATTAAAATTAGACAAGCCCCTTTGTACTGAAACCTCCCTCTCGCAGCAAGTCTTTTAAGGAGTTGTTTCTGGTTGGTAAAAAAAAAAAAAAGACTTATTTTGGCAATACCATTTTAGAAAAAAAAGTGAGAAGAACAGTTCATGATTTCTGCTCAGCTACAACGTTGGCATTCTGGGGCGGAAAATAAGCCCCCAGTGGCAGGAGCGTGGGAATCCAAGATCCCTCCTTCTGTCGTAAGAGCTGGAAAAATTAAAAATTATTTTTCCACGAAGGTGAAACACCCTTGAGAAGGAGAACAGGTGTCTGGGGCAGCTGGAATCTGTTAACAATTAACCCTTGTTCAAAAAGAGACATTTTTGCACAAGGACTAAACCCCACCGCCAACCCAACCGCCACGTTCTCAATGTGCCGATAAAAGCCAGGGGAAGGCCAAGGCTGGATGCAAGGCCTTGACTGATGGCCTGCTGGCTGCAGGCTGGGGAAAATGATATGCAGATAATTTTCGCCCTCTCTCTTTGGAAACTCTTTGGGTTTTCCTTCTAACCCGGGTGGGAAATGAGCATACTGGTTCTAAATCATTCATGGGAGTGTGCCCTCTGCTGTGTCTACGAAAGGCCCAGGGTCAGCTGCATGTATTTATTTTTTAATGGTTTTTATTGGTTTTACAAAACAAATCTCACATTTAAAAAATTAAAATTTCAAATTTAAACAAGATTCTTCTGCATCTTAGGACTTCCCTCCTCCCCTCCGTGGGTCCTTGATAATTCAAGTGTATATCATAATTTCTCCGCATTAAAGTGCTCCAAAGTCTCTGTAACATTGCAGGAGTTGTTGAAAGCCTGCCAAAGAGCTCAAGTGATTACAGTGTTCTTTTAAGTACAGCTTCTATTTGTCCCATTCCCTATTGAAGTTTTGATAGTCCTGATTTCTGATTTTCCCCGTCAGTCTCACCATCTCTGCATATTCTAATACTTTCATCTGCCAGTCTGCTTTTGCGTGTTGAGACCTTTCAACCTCCCCCTTAAATAAATTCACACAAGACTCAAATTTTGCTTTGGTTTTTGGCAGAATTTAGGCCACAACTTTATTGATTACAGCAAGTGACTGGTTGCATAGTGTTATGTACTAAAGTTCTCACCCTGGGACAGCAGGGGGATACTGTAGATAGTTTTCACTCAGGTCCACATATGCAAATAAGGAATTGAAAGTGACATTCAGTGATTGGATAGTTTCAGAAAGTTGTTACTGTTGCGTTGTAGTGGAACTCTATATAAGCAGGCTAGTTGAACCCTTCAGTTCTGTCCTGTCCTGGGTCTGTGAATAAACAAGAGCTGTCTGAAGAATCACTGTGTTATCTGATATGTTCATCCACAACTTAACACATAGGCTCTGGTTCAACTAGCCCCCTGCACCCTTGCAGGTAGCGCTGACCCAGGGCACCAGCCTAGGTCAGCCTAGGGTGAACACCTGGATAAGCGGAAAGCCGGGAGCAGGCTATCTCCGCCACCCAAATGCCCCCCTGGACTCAGGCATGGGCACAACCCCATCACAGGGTTGTCCTGTGGATTCCTTTAACGGAATACCCTTCACATAGGGATGGCGAGAGCGTTCTCCCATCCCTATCACCTGAACCAGAGCCTATCTGCAACCTTACAAGTTGTGACGATTTGCTACGCGTCAGGCGAAACCCAAATGGCAACAGCCAATCAGCCAAAGTAGGGAAAATTCCTGCCGTGCCCCTGTCCCAACGACAGACGACACACGACGGCGTAGCAAGGTCACGCGCACAAGCCCTAAATATAGGGAATGGTGGGTGGGTGTTCTGATGCACGAACCAAAAGAGGAAGCTCTGGGTCACGTGCATGGGTACCTCAGGTTAAGTACTTAATTCGTTCTGGAGGTCCGTTCTTAACCTGAAACTGTTCTTAACCTGAGGTACCACTTTAGCTAATGGGACCTCCAGAGCATGATTTCTGTTCTTATCCTGAAGCAAAGTTCTTAACCTGAAGCACTCTTTCTGGGTTAGCGGTGTCTGTAACCTGAAGCATATGTAACCTGAAGCGTATGTAACCTGAGGTACCACTGTAAATAGGTCCCTTGATCCATTTAGCCTGCGTCCCATTGGCTTGATTGAACCCTCCATCAAGGGACCTACCAATCGGGTATTGTGGCTATCCAAACGTACCCACCCACAACACAGGGTTAGGTTGCAACACGTGCCTCTTTAAGGGAGGACCCGATTTCTCGGCGTCTTCTCCTCTTTCTACCGCTGGGCAAAGCAGCATCATTGCAGCCGTAGCAGCGGACATAAATAGTTTTCTCAAATCTTTCGGTAGCTCTGCACCTAGAATTCCTAAGAGAAAGGCTTCTGGTCTTTTAACAAATGTTATTTTGAACATTTGCTTTAATTCGTTATATATCATTTCCCATAATTCCTTTATCTTTTTACAATTTTACAATTTTTGCAGTTCCAACATACATTCGAATTGGTGCTACACATTATCGCTAACCTACTGGGTGTTAAGTACCAACGGCACATCACTTTTGTGTAATTTTCTTCCAGCGTGTAGCACGCTGTAAATTTCAAATCATTCTTATGCTGCCAACTGTATATTATATCCAAAATCTCTTGCCCGGTGAATCATTACGGACTTAACATCTTACCGGGTCTTCTGTGTGTAAAGTAGGGGTTCGGCCACGGAGTTACAGGCTCTCATTAAAAATAAAGTAAGATTCTGCCGCTCAGATAAAGGGCAAATTTAAACTGGAGCAAAATAAACTGCCTTATGCTGAGTCTGACCCTTGGGCCATCTAGCTTTGAGGTTGAATCCTGACAAGACAGAAATACTGTTTTGGGGGGACAGGAGGCAGACGGGTGTGGAGGACTCCCTGGTCCTGAATGGGGTAACTGTGCCCCTGAAGGACCAGGTGCGCAGCCTGGGAGTCATTCTGGACTCACAGCTGTCCATGGAGGTGCAGGTCAATTCTGTGTCCAGGGCAGCTGTTTATCAGCTCCATCTGGTACGCAAGCTGAGACCCTAACTGCCCCCGGACTGTCTCCCCAGAGTGGTGCATGCTCTGGTTCTCTCCCGCTGGGACTACTGCAATGCGCTCTACGTGGGGCTACCTTTGAAGGTGACCCAGAAACTACAACTAATCCAGAATGCGGTGGCTAGACTGGTGACTGGGAGTGGCCACCGGGACCACATAACACTGGTCTTGAAAGACCTACATTGGCTCCCAGTACATTTCCGAGCACAATTCAAAGTGTTGGTGTTGACCTTTAAAGCCCTAAACGGCCTCAGCCCAGTATACCTGAAGGAGCGTCTCCACCCTCATCGTTCTGCCCAGACACTGAGGTCAAGCACCGAGGGCCTTCTGGTGATTCCCTCGCTGTGAGAAGCCAAGTTACAGGGAACCAGGCAGAGGGCCTTCTCGGTAGTGGCACCTACCCTGTGAAATGCCCTCCCACCAGATGTCAAAGAGAAAAACAACTACCAGACTTTTAGAAGACATCTGAAGGCAGCCCTGTTTTAGGAAACTTTTAGTGTTTAATAGACTATTGTATTTTAATATTTTGTTGGGAGCCACCCAGAGTGGCTGGGGAAACCCTGCCTGATGGGCGGGGTATGAATAATAAATTGTTGTTGTTGTTGTTATAAATAATAAAATTATCATAGCTCAGTATTGTCCACACTGACTTGCAGTGGCTCTGCAGGGCTTCTGGCAGGTAGTCTCTCCCAGCCCTACCTAGAGCTGCTGCCAGCAATTGAACCTGCAACCTTATTCCACATTTGTCAGAACTCAAGCTTTTAGGGTGCTTTGGAACGTCCTGCCTGTTGATATCGTGCAGGAATCTTCAGTGAACAGTGGTACCTTGGTTCTCAAACGCCTTGGTTCCCAAACGCTGAAAACTCGGAAGCAAGTGTTTCAGTTTTCGAATGTTTTTCAGGAGCCAAACATCTGACGCGGCTGTAGGCTATTGTTTCTGGAGCGCCTGCACCACTCAGAAGCTTTGCCTTGGTTTTTGAACATTTCGGAAGTCAAACGGACTTCCGGAAAGGATTAAGTGTGGCGCTTTTGTTTTTGCTGTTTATTTTGCGTTTTTGTTTTTGAGGCTTTTCCAGTTCATTTGTTTTTGTGACTGTGTGGAACCCAGTTCAGCTACTGATTGACTGATGGAGTGACTGCGGAAATGGATAAAAGCCCCCCCCCCTCCAAACAATGACTATCATCAGTGCAGGTAAGGGGGGGGGAAATTAATTTTAACATTTTATCATCTGCAATACTGTCTTATTTTATAGTACAGTACATTGATTATTGCTTTCATTTTATGGATCGATGGTCTCGCTAGATAGTAAAATTCATGTTAAATGGCTGTTTTGGGGGTTGTTTTTAAAAGTCTGGAATGGATTAATCCATTTTTGCATTACTTTCTAATGGGAAAGCGCGCTTTGGTTTTGGAACGGACTTCAGGAACGGATTAAGTTTGAGAACCAAGGTACCACTGTACAGTCATACCTCGGGTTGAAGTAGCTTGGGGATAAGTATTTTTGGGTTGCGCACTGCAGCGACCCAGAAGTAACGGAGTGCGTTACTTCCGGGTGTCACCGCGCGCGCATGCGCAGACAGTCAAAATGACGTCACGAGTATGCGCAGAAGCGGCGAATCGCGACCCACGCACGCGCAGACGAGCAGTCGTGTCTTATGTTCGCTTCAGGATGCGAACGGGGCTCCGGAACGAATCCCATTCACATCCAGAGGTACCACTGTATCTGAGAATGCCCATTTCTCATCTGCCATAACCCCTGCCCCACCCAGGCATCCTCCTCCTTGCAAGGGCAATGCTAGGGACAGGTCCAAACCATACATTTAAAGTGCATTCTGCACACATTTTAAAGGTAAAGGACCCCTAGGCAGTTAAGTCCAGAAAGGCTACTATGAGGTTGCGCACTCATCTTGCTTTCAGGCTGAGGGAGCTGGCGTTTGTCCGCAGACAGCTTTCCGGGTCATGTGGTCAGCAGGACTCAACCACTTCTGGCACAATGCGACACTGTGACGGAAACCAGAGTGCACAGAAATGCTGTTTACCTTCCTGCCACAGCTGTACCTATTTATCTACTTGCACTGGCGTGCTTTCGAACTGCTAGGTTGACAGGAGCTGGTACAGAGCAACAGAAACTCACTCTGTTGTGTGGATTTGAACCGCTGACCTTCTGATCAGCAAGCTCAAGAGGATCAGTGGTTTAGACCACAGCACCACCCACATCCCATTTAAAGCACACATTTAAACCACATCCACCGCCTCAAATATTGGGAATTATTGTTTGTTAAGGGTAGAGGGTTGCAGGTGGCGCTATGGTCTAAACCACAGAGCCTAGGGCTTGCCGATCAGAAGGTTGACAGTTCAAATCCCCGCAACAGGGTGAGCTCCCTTTGCTCGGTCCCTGCTCCTGCCAACCTAGCATTTTGAAAGCACGTCAAAGTGCAAGTAGATAAATAGGTACCACTCCGACGGGAAGGTAAACGGCGTTTCTGTGCGCTGCTCTGGTTTGCCAGAAGCGGCTTAGTCATGCTGGCCACATGACCCAGAAGCTGTACACCGGCTCCCTCGGCCAATAAAGCGAGATGAGCGCCGCAACCCCAGAGTAGTCCACGACTGAACTTAACGGTCAGGGGTCCCTTTACCTTTAAGGGTGCTGGGAATTGTAGCTTGGTGCAGGGGTAGATGCAGTTCCTGCAACTCTTCGGGGGAAGTTATGTGTTTTCGGGCGGGCCAGTGAGGGCTGGCAGAGGGCACATTGGGGTTGGTGGTGCCCTCACTTATCCTGATGGACCACCCTCTGCCTCAGTGACTGTCAGACATTTTCCCAGCTGAAGAGAAGGACAAGATGCGCCTGACCCCCCCCCCCCCATTCCCCACTCCTTGTGCAGAAGGCATGGATGGACTTTGGCCTTTCAAATTCCAGCAGCATCCTGTAATACACCAAACTTTGCCCCCCCCCCCCGCCTCTTGTGTTCCTTTCTAAGTCATTGTTGCGGCACCCAATGTCAGCAAAGCAGTTGTGCGCCCCTAAACCCATCTCTGCTGAAGGTGACTGGGCTGGAAGCTGAATCGTTCTTCCAAAGCACCACAGGGTGGCTTGAGACTAACTCAGCAAATTGTAGGAAAGCTCTGTGATCCAGTGCGTCACCCCCAGAATTTGCTGCCTGAAGCAGCTTGCCTTGCTGTTATGTACTGAGTTGAATAGGGTCCAAAATGCAGCAGTCTGATGGGTCCTAGAACAATAGGATTCAGAATGCAGCAGTCTGATTGGTCCTAGAACAATAGGATTCAGAATGCAGCAGTCTGATTGGTCCTAGAACAATAGGATTCAGAATGCAGCAGTCTGATTGGTCCACAGGAACTACCCAATTCAGCTCCAGGTGGAAGTGAATCTGCAACCTGATTGGCCTACAGGAGAATCCCAGAATTAGCCAATCACGTGGGGCCCATTGTGTAAATAATATATATAAAGCAGACATTCTGGGGGAACTTCCATTCCTCCTCACCACTATGAGCTGAATAAAGAGCATGAAATCCACTCTCAACTCCAAGTATATTTCACTTGCCTAACAGTAGGGCTGGCCCAGAGAAGCAACAAAGGTGAGAGAGAGAGAAAGAGATGGTAGGCAGGTGAGTGCATCTTTAAATTTTTATTCTGAAGAATCCAGCAAGGAAGGGATTCGGCTGCAGTTGCTGCTGCTTGACATTAATGGCTGGAAATGGTCTGCAAGGGAAAATAATAATAATAATAATAATAATAATAATAATAATAATAATAAATTTTATTTATATCCCGCCCTCCCCAGCTGAAGCCGGGCTCAGGGCGGCTAACAACAATAAAACAGAACAAAAGTACAGCATAAACAACATTCTAAAATCATTCATTATAAAATTACCGTATTTTTCACACCATAGGACGCACCGGACAATAGGACGCACTTTGTTTTAGAGGGGGGAGAACAAGAAAAAAAAAAAGATCCCCCTCTCTGCCCAGCGCCCCTTCAGTGAAGCGGCAGGAGGCGCTGCACAGAGAGGGGGAGAACTTTCCCCCTCTTGTTTTCCCGCTCTAAAACAAGGTGCCGTTTAAGGTGCGTTCAGGCGGCTACCTTGGAAGCCTGGAGAGCGAGAGGGTCGGTGTGCACGGACCCCTCTTGCTCTCCAGGCTTCAGGTTCCTTTCGACCTGCTCTTTGGGGCTGGCGGGGGGAAGCCCACCACCAGCCCCAAAGAGCAGGTCAGGAAGCAGCGAAAAATACGGTAATTAATTTAAGCCACTGGCAACCATTGGGCCAGAGCTCCGTGAAGATTGCCGAGGGAGGGAGTCAGGCTGTGCCCTTGCCAAAGGCCTGGTGGAACAGCTCTGTCTTGCAGGCCCTGCGGAAAGATGTCAAGTCCCGCAGGGCCCTGGTCTCTTGTGACAGAGTGTTCCACCAAGTCGGGGCCAGTACTGAAAAGGCCCTGGCTCTAGTTGAGGCCAGCCTAACTTCTCTGTGGCCTGGGACCTTCAAGATGTTTTTATTTGAAGATCGTAAGTTTCTCTGTGGGGCACACCAGGAGAGGCGGTCCCGTAGGTACGAGGGTCCTAGGCCGTATAGGGCTTTAAAGGTTAAAACCAGCACCTTAAACCTGATCCTGTACTCCACCGGGAGCCAGTGCAGCTGGTATAGCACCGGGTGAATGTGATCTCGCAGTGAAGACCTCGTAAGGAGTCTCGCTGGAGCATTCTGCACCCGCTGGAGTTTCTGGGTCAGTCTCAAGGGCAGCCCCACGTAGAGCGAGTTACAATAATCCAGTCTGGAGGTGACCGTCGCGTGGATCACAGTGGCTAGGTCAGGGCGAGAGAGATAAGGAGCCAACTGCTTAGCTTGGCGGAGATGGAAAAATGCCGCCTTTGTTATAGCTGTAATCTGCGCCTCCATGGAAAGGGAGGTGTCGAAGATTACACCCAAACTCTTAAAGAGAGTTGCAGTGTTAGGAAATGTGCCAGAGATCTTTGGGCAGATCCACGCCATATGCTTAAAGCATGGGGCTTCCCCAAAAAGAACCCAGCGAACTACAGTTCCTGGCATCCTTAAACTATAGTTCCCAGGATTATTGGGGTGGGGAACCATGTGCTTTAAGTGCATGGTGGCTGGCCACTGTGAGGAGCAGATACAGGACTAAATTGGCCATTGGCTTATTAGGAAACCAAATCAATTACATAGCCAATTATAAATTTGGGGTGGCTTCCCATGTGCTGTACTTCAGGGTCCGATTCCTTTTAATTCTGCCTCCACATTATTGCTCAAACTAAATACAACCCATTCTTGATAAAACCCCTTATTCCACAGCTACAATGATTAACTTCAATTCGCAGCAACACATATAAAGGTAAAGGGACCCCTGACCATTAGGTCCAGTCGTGGCCGACTCTGGGGTTGCGGCACTCATCTCACTTTACTGGCTGAGGGAGCTGGCATACAGCTTCCGGGTCATGTGGCCAGCATGACTAAGCCGCTTCTGGCGAACCAGAGCAGCGCACGGAAACGCCGTTTACCTTCCCGCCGGAGTGGTACCTATTTATCTACTTGCACTTTGACGTGCTTTCGAACTGCTAGGTTGGCAGGAGCAGGGACTGAGCAACGGGAGCTCACCCCGTTGCAGGGATTCGAACCGCCGACCTTCTGATCAGCAAGTTCTAGGCTCTGTGGTTTAACCCACAGTGCCACCCGTGTCCCTTTTATCAACACATATAGTAATTTGTAAATTCGCAAATGAAGTTCTCGTTTCTTCTTCCTGTGTGAGGTTTTAATTTCCACCGATTATTCCTTTCTCAAATATGATGTCCATATTAATTATTCCTGATCTCCTTTGTTGACTCGGAGTTACTCTGGAGAGGTCTTTTTCTTTGTTCTCAACTCTTCTGATGTAAAATTCCACCTTTGATTTCAAACAGGGAGTCACCCAATGACCTGCCAAAGCCCTGGCAGACCTCCAAGTTCTCCCCTCTACCTCCAGTCAAAGCAATTAATTATAATTATTTGTAAAAGAACGATCTGGTGCCCCGCCAGATCCCTTGCATGCAGGACCTACCTCTTCAATCCAGTTGTTGAAAGCAGAGACACGGGTGAAGACGGTGGGCTTCTTCAAGGTGTTGCACCCCCAGGCAGAGACGAAACTCGTCACCCCGTGGACGTACCACCTCCCATCAGCAGCCCGACAGTTGAGGGGGCCTCCGGAGTCACCCTGAAATAATAGGCAAGGTGTGAAAAGGATCTCAAAAGCTGCACCCCGTTCAAATGATGATATTAGATCCATGTTGTTAACTTCCCTGATAATTTCTTAAAGTCTTTTAATTTATTACTGGAAGAATCCGCGATCAGAAAGAGGAGGAACATCAAGAAGATTGGAAGAAATTTAAGGAATATTTAGCTAAATATTATAATATAATATAATCGGAAATACTTGCAAGTACTAAATTGGTTTAGGATTAAAGTATGTTGAATGGTATAATACTATGGATTGAGAATATTATGAGAAGAAAGGAAGTTAGTAATTTGAATAAGTTAATTTTATTAGAAAGTGGATATTGGAAAATTGCTAAAATGAGATTTAATGAAAATCAGTTAGGAAGGATTCGAGGCAGTCACTTAACAATGAAAAGTAATTTGGATTTTTAATAGCAAGAAGTTTTATATGTTTGTTTGTTTTGTTTTTTAATATGTTTTGTTAGTTTGTGTTGTGTTATATTTGTTATAAATTTGGAAAATTAATAAAAAAAATTGAAAAAATAAATAAAGCCTTTTAATTTATATTCTCCTCCCTCTTGTTCTAATAAATTTCTGTAAGTTGTCCACCCTTCTATCATATTCTTTTCCTTTACCGCTACAGCTTCCAACGGTGAGAGCCAAAGTGGTGCTTTTGCCTCGAATAAATTATTGCATTTATCCCATACTCTATACATCCCCCCCCAATTATATGATTTGTAAATCCTTTATGAACTTTCACCTTTTCATACCATAAATATGCATGCCAACCAAAAATATTGTCACGACCTTCCAAGTCTAGAATACATGAATTCTGTAATGTCATCCATTCCTTCAACCAGCAAAGACAGGCTGCCTCATAGTATAGTTTCATATCCCGCAGGGAAAAACCTCTTTCTTTTGCATCTATCAATATTTTATATTTTATTGTCAGTTGGGAAATGTTAAAATGATTGTAAAATTAGTGAAATGTATAAATCTGAAAGGCATAAATCATTTAAAAAAATTTTTTTTAAAGAAAGCTGCTCCCCGGGCAGTAATTGGCGAGGTCTGTAGCTCTGCGGTAGGGTAGATCATTAGAACTTGTATACTATCTATTAAATTCATATACCACCCACGAGCTGAAGATTGCAAAATGAATAACGCCAAATGAATCAATCAGTCCCTGTAGAAACGAGTCTTGGGTGCAATTGCTGCCCCACAGGGGGTTGGACTAGATGACCCATGAGGGTCCCTTCCAACTCTACAATGCTAGAGTTCAAAAGTAAATCTGACCTTTATTGCTCCGCCCACCTTTGCCTCTGGCCACGCCCACCAATGGCAAGGGCACCCCCAGGAAGTTGCCCAGAAGGGAATGTGGCGCCCCCCAGTTGAGAAGGGGTTCCCTGCTCCTGGTTCAAAGTGCCGCAAGACCCTTTGCTGCGTTCTTGTGCAAAAGACTGGCTTTGCATCCTTACCGTACATTGCAAAGCACACAGCTCCCCCCTGCCGCAAAAGGATCCTGGGAACCGTAGTTTCCCCCTTGCGGTGCTGCAATTCCCAGCAGCCTTAACTACAGTTCCCTGCATTCTTTAGGGGAAATAACGTGCTGTTAAATAAATAGTATGCCCGTTTCCTATGGGCAGTGCCTCCTCTGGAAATCCTTACTTCCTCCCCCGCCCCAATTATATTTCATTAAGTTTCAACATTTTTAACACATGCAGTCACAACACAATTTCGTCTTTTATTTTTCTCGACTTCCCACCCCGTTCTCCACGGACTTGTTGTTTTACCCCTTCTGCTGCACCCTGTCTTCTATCTATCAAATCAGAACCACAATATTATAATCTAATTCCTTCTGTTGCTTGTAGCTCAAATCCTGCTCATGAGTTCATCGTACCATAATATTATAGTATAATATACTATATCAGGCGTGGCCAGCTCACAAGAGACTGTGATCTACTTCCACTATAAAAATAACTGGCAGTGATCTATCCGTTGGATTGACCAAAGTTGTTGAGCTTTTTGTGGGGGGTCATCAGCAAAGTTGGGGGAGAAAGCCCCAAAGTTGTTGAGCTTTATTATTATTATTTATTTTATTTTTGGGCCAGTCGATCAGGATCACGCGATTGACTGGGATTGGCTAGGGACACCCCACGATCGCGATCAACCGGTTGGACATGCCTGTACTATATACTATAATGTTTCCTTAAAAGGTAAAGGGACCCCTGACCATTAGGTCCAGTCGTGACCGACCCTGGGGTTGCGGCGCTCATCTCGCTTTATTGGCCGAGGGAGCCGGCGTACAGCTTCCGGGTCATGTGGCCAGCATGACTAAGCCGCTTCTGGCGAACCAGAGCAGCACAGAGAAACGCCGTTTACCTTCCCACCGGAGCGGTACCTATTTATCTACTTGCACTTTGACTTGCTTTCGAACTGCTAGGTTGGCAGGAGCAGGGACCAAGCCACAGGAGCTCACCCTGTCGCGGGGATTCGAACCGCCGACCTTCTGATTGGCAAGTCCTAGGCTCTGTGGTTTAACCCACAGTGCCACCCGCGTCCCTTAATGTTTCCTTAAACAATCTGAAAAAGGCATCCTCCTATGGAAATCATTTCCCTGCTTGGGAACACTAGTGGCTCAGTGGCGGCTAACCAGAAGGCTGGTGGTTCGAGCCCCCCAGGGTCCCTTCCAACTCTACAATACTATAGTTCTACGACCAGCCCTTTCTGCCTTCCACTGTCTTGCCCCCAGGATAGCTGGAGATGGGGCTCCATCGCGCAGCATCCTCTGGGGCAATAGCACCGCTGGTCCCTTATACAGTGCCAGCCCCTTCTTTGCGGTTTACTGACGTTGCAGCCAGACCGGATGTCTCCCCCGGCGCAGACCATCGTCTCCTTCACGGTGTAGCTCCACCAGTCCGGCTGGCTGCAGTGGGCGTAGTCCACCGACGGGAGCAGGGCTTGCTGAAGGATGGAGGGGAGTGGCCCGCCAGCTGTAAGAGAAGGGAAGGGGTTTTGGGAAATACAGTGGTACCTCGGGTTACAGACGCTTCAGGTTACAGATTCCGCTAACCCAGAAATAGTACCTCTGGTTAAGAACTTTGCTTCAGGATGAGAACAGAAATCGTGCTCCGGCGGCGCAGTGGCAGCAGGAGGCCCCATTAGTTAAAGTGGTGCTTCAGATTAAGAACAGTTTCAGGTTCCATTATGGAGGGGGTGACAAATTATCAAGGAACAGTTACTGCCCTACTAGGGTGGTTCATAAAACACTTTTTAAAAAAAAGCCTGCTCCAAAGGTCTTATCTTACTACACTAGGGATTATATATCTATATATGAAATTTCATGCATATCGGTTAATATCTTGACCCTCCTCCACGAAAATAGCTGTTTACTTGCCTGTTTTCCTATGTCGGGAAGGCTGAAATTTAAATTCAGTGGAGCGCTTACTGTTCCCAACCCTAACCCAGCGGAAAGCCATCTAATTAGACTTTAATTTGATTTTGACATGTTTTTAGGAGGTAATTTAATAGTTGTTTGATTTTATACCAATGTTATGTATCTGATGTTAGCCGCCCTGAGCCCGACTTTGGCTGGGGAGGACGGGATATAAATAAAAGTTTATTATTATTATTATTATTATTATTACTTATTATTATTATTCCTTTGTAAGAAAATATGAAATAATGTAAAACCATTTTTGCAGGCAAAAAATGAAATAAAAATCAATGGGGGGGGGGGTGGCAAGAAATTTTCCACACCAGGTACCACCTGACCTTCCTATGCCTCTGCTCTCAGCCTAACCTACCTTGCAAGGTTGTTGTAGGAATAAAACAGGAAATTGGAGTACCACATTTGCCCCCCTGGAGTTCCTCAGAGGTTCAAAAAAAGGGGGAGAGAAATGCAACAAGTAAATAAATAAGGTCACGTACTGTAGAGGCGCCCCCAGCCACTGATGTAGCAGGGGGATCCATTGGGGAGCAGGTCTCCCGGGGGCGGGATGCACCCCAGCTGCACTTTGTCGTTGAGCTCTGCGCTGCGAGAAAGCTTCAACAAGGCGATGTCATCCCTGAAAGAGGAGGCGGAGGAGGTTTTGTGTTTGAAATGCAAAGGTAAGGAGGGTACTGTTTACCATATGTGGTGGCCATGTACACGGCTAAAGGCTTCCTGGGAAATGATACACCGTATTTTTTGCTCTATAAGACTCACTTTTCCCCTCCTAAAAAGTAAGGGGAAATGTGTGTGCGTCTTATGGAGCGCATGCAGGCTGCACAGCTATCCCAGAAGCCAGAACAGCAAGAGGGATCGCTGCTTTCGCTGTGCAGCGATCCCTCTTGCTGGTTCTGGCTTCTGGGATTCAGAATATTTTTTTTCTTGTTTTCCTCCTCCAAAAAGTAGGTGCGTCTTATGGTCTGGTGCATCTTATAGAGCGAAAAATACGGTATAATGAATTAAAGAAAACAATAAAATGATAAAAAGTACCTTCCTTCTCTTTGCATTCCCGACACAAATTTGAACTTGTTTTGTACATTTTAGCAATTTTAGGTAAAGGTAAAGGGACCCCTGACCGTTAGCTCCAGTCGTGAATGACTCTGGCGTTGCGGCCCTCATCTCGCTTTACTGGCCGAGGGAGCCGGCGTTTGTCCGCAGACAGTTTTTCCAGGTCATGTGGCCAGCATGACGAACCAGAGCAGTGCACGGAAACGCCGTTTACCTTCCCGCTGGAGGGGCACCTATTTATCTATTTGCACTTTGACGTGCTTTCGAACTGCTAGGCTGGCAGGAGCAGGGACCGAGCAACGGGAGCTCACTGCGTTGCGGGGATTCGAACCGCCGACCTTCTGATCGGCAAGTCCTAGGCTCTGTGGTTTAGACCACAGCACCACCCATAAAAATTAGCAATTTTACTTGGTGTTAAATACCAACAGTATATCATTTTCATATAGGAAAAAAGATAAGTGCCCTTCTCCTCCAGCTTACCCACAAGCCACGCAGTTGCTGTTCCAGCCGGGGTGCACATAGATGTCCTCTGAGTTCACCAGGATGTGCTGCTCTGGACCTTCCTCTTTGCTCCGGTCGTACTCACCCAGAACCACCTTGTATTTGCGGGATGGTCTGAGAAGAGAGAGGTGTGTTAAAAACCCTCTGGCTTTTGTGTGGCTGGAATGTAGTTCACTGTAGGAACTCCCTGCCTATTGAAGATCAAGCCGGCGCCTTTGTGGTACTCTTTTCAGCGCCTGCCAAAAACACTCTGATTTAGACAAGCCCTTTTGGAAAGTCAGTGCGAGTCTTAATCTGATTTTAAGTCTATTTTTTAAAACCTTTCTGACGTTTTTAAATTATTTCTGCTTGTTTTTGTAAAATGTTATCATTTTATCTACTTTGTAAGCCATTGTGAGGCATTTTATACAATCAGATTTTATGAATTACAGTGGGACCTTGGCTCTCAAACTTAATTCGTTCCGGAAGTCAGTTTCAAAACCAAAGCGTTCCCAAACCAAGGCGCGCTTTCCCATGGAAAGTAATGCAAAACGGATTAATCCGTTCTGTACTTTTAAAAACAACCCCCAAAACAGTCATTTAACATGATATTTACTATCTAACGAGACCTCTGATCCACAAAATGAAAGCAATAATCAATGTAAAAAGGTAAAGGGACCCCGACTGTTAAGTCCAGTCGTGGCCGACTCTGGGGTTGCGGCGCTCATCTCACTTTACTGGCCGAGGGAGCCGGCGTTTGTCTGCAGACAGCTTCCAGGTCATGTGGCTAGCATGACTAAGCTGCTTCTGGCGAACAAGAGCAGTGCACGGAAACACTGTTCACCTTCCTGCTGGAGCGGTACCTATTTATCTACTTGCACTTTAAGGTGCTTTCGAACTGCTAGGTTGGCAGGAGCAGGGACTGAGCAACAGGAGCTCACCCTGTTGTGGGGATTCGAACCGCCGACCTGATTGGCAAGCCCTGATCGGTTTAGACCACAGTACCACCTGCGTCCCATAATAATAATTATCAACGTACTGTACTATAAAATAAGTAAGACAGCATTGTAGATGATTAAAATTAAAATAAAAAACAAAAGCGCCAAACTTAATCCGTTCCGAAAGTCCCTTTGACTTCCAAAATGTTTGAAAACCAAGGCGCAGCTTCTGATTGGCGCAAGAACCCCGGAAACAATAGCCAACCACTACATTGGACGTTTGGCTTCCGAAAAACGTTTGAAAACCGGAACACTTACTTCCGGGTTTTCGGCGTTTGGGAACCAAGGCGTTTGAGAACCAAGACATTTGAGTACCAAGGCATTTGAGAACCAAGGTACCACTGTAAATGTTTCAGCATAGCTCAGTTGGTTAGAGCATGGCGCTGATAACACCAAGTGCACAGGTCCTAGACAGCTGCACATTCCTGCATTGCAGGGGGATGGACTCGATGATCTTCAGGGTCCCTTCCAACTCTACAATCCAAATTTTAAAGAAATATACCTGCTCCTTCACTCGCTTTCCCCTCTGACGCTGCCCCCCGCTGCTGTGTGACTCTCGGATGATTGCCCGTGTGGTCTCAAGGTAGCAAGGTATGCGTCAAATCCATTACCCTGCCCGCTAGGCCCTCCTAGCAGTCCATGTGGCCCTTCGTTGATTGCCCACATGGCCCCCGGGTTCCTACCCCCGTTTCATGGGTGTGCTCAGTGCTTGGCTCCGGCACGCCTTGAGAGAGACCGCACTTACGAGATGCAATGTCCGGCCGTCATGACCCAGTTGGCATCGATGAGTGTCCCTCCGCAGGTGTGGTGGAATTGTCCTCCGCTTTCATATTGCAGGGAGACCTGTAGAAGAGAGCGTAGATGATGGAGGAGCTGAGATCAGGACAGGCTGGGAGGTCTTCTCCTTTGCTCCCCACCTGAAAGGACTTTCCTTTTTTAAAAATAAATAAATAAAATTTTTATTAGATTTTCCACAATGATAACACAAACCACAAAGCAAAATGATACACAAAAACAGAAAAAGAAAAAGAAAAAAGAAAAAAGAAGAAGAAGAAGAAGAAGAAGAAGAAGAAGAAGAAGAAGAAGAAGAAAAAGGGAACAATAAACAGATAAACAATAACAACAAACTTAATTCTTCACAAATCCAACCTTTTAAACATCTTGGTTGACTTCCTCAAATCCCTCCCTTCTGAGTTTCCTTGTAATTAAAAGTAACAGCTTTCCAATATCATTACTAAACTAAAACAATTTCCAATTATAGTCCATCTTATGCACTTTCCTTAACATTCTAAATCCCATTTATTTAATTATAACTTAGTTTAATCCTAGGCCTATTTGTTTCTTTCAAGTAATTTCTAATTTTTTATATTATAATATTTATTCAAATAGTCCTTAAACTTCCTCCAGTCCTCTTGAAACTCCTCTTCTTTCTGGTCACGGATTCTTCCAGTCAGGTCAGCTAGCTCCGAAAAGTCCATCATCTTCATCTGCCAATCTTCCACTGTTGGTAGTTCTTGTGTTTTCCAATTTTTAGCAAGTAATATTCGGGTGGCCGTTGTGGCATACAAAAATAATTTAACATCTTTCTTGGGCAATTCCAAACCTGTTATTCCAAGAAGAAAGGCCTCTGGTTTCTTAATAAATGTATATTTCAACATTTTTTCCTGAAAGGACTTTCCTAGCCCTTTCCCGCTCCTTTCCTCAAGAACAGGGGCAGCTGTCCAGTTGTTGCTGAACTGCATCCCCCAGCAGCCCCAGCCAGTGGTGTATCATGGGTTACCAGTGCCCGGAACAGGGCAAGTGTTGTGCTTGGGTGGGGCATAGCTGTCAACCGTCCCTTATTTGGCGGGAAAGTCCCTTATCCCAGCGCCGTGTCCCGCTGCTGTCCCTTATTGATGAGGTCCCTTAAATTTCCCGGGTTTCAAAGGAAGCAGCTCCTCTCCCTCCCTTCCTGCCGACCAGGGAGGAGGGAGGCTCCAACTGTGTTGCTTGGCTGCGTTGTTCACCCAATAAGGAGTCTAAGAACGACTGGGGGGTGGAGCTTGCATGCCTTGTGCTGATCAAATTGGCTGCGTTGCCTGGGGACTCGCCTTCGCTCAGCGCTTCCCAGCAGAGAGGTGACGGTGGTTTTCCTTGCTGCACCCCCTTTGCCGGTTTGCTGCGCTGTGGGAACCACGGCTTGAGGCTTCGTTTGGCTGCTGGGCTGGCTGGGCTTTCTGCCTTTGTCTCGGGAGCTAGTTGACTAAAATCCCTTATTTTGGCTGCTGGTCCCTTATTTTTGAGGCTGCTGGTCCCTTATTTTCAAATCTGTAAGTTGATAGCTATGGGGTGGGGGCGTGTGCCAGGGGGCACGTGCTGAGTCCACTCGGAGCGTGAACCGATTCTGCCTCCAACAGGGATGATGAGAGTTGTAGTTCAGCCATATCTGGTTAGCCAAATGCTCCCCACACCTTCTCAAGAGGTCTGGGATGGTGGGCGATTCCAGTCTGTCGGTGTGTGTGATAGCAGTTAAGAAGGCTGGACGAGGACTTCAGAGCCCTGGATTTAAATCTCCACTCGGTCATGAAGCTCACTGGAGTGACCCTGGGCCAATCGCTTTCTCTCTCAGCCTAGCCTACCTCACAAGATGGTTGTGTGGATAACAACAGGAAGAAACTTTGAACTTTATGTGGATGTGACCACAGCTAAAATGAAAAGTCTCCCGACCTGTTAGTTGTTCCTCATAGGGGAGTTTCCCCAGTGCCCCCCCCAATTGCTCCCGTCAGCCTTCTGCTTTCCCAGGTCAAGAATAATAATAATAATTTATTATTTGTACCCTGCCCATCTGGCTGGGTTTCCCCAGCCACACTGGGCGGCTTCAACAAAGACCAAAAATACACTAATATGTCATACATTAAAAACTTCCCTGAACAGGGCTGCCTTAAGATGTCTTCTGAATGTCAGGTAGTTGTTTATTGCTTTGACATCTGATGGGAGGGCGTTCCACAGGGCGGGCGCCACTACCGAGAAGGCCCTCTGCCTGGTTCCCTGTAGCTTTGCTTCTCGCAATGAGGGAACCGCCAGAAGGCCCTTGGCGCTGGACCTCAGCGTCCGGGCAGAACGATGGGGGTGGAGACGCTCCTTCAGGTATACTGGGCCAATGCCGTTTAGGGCTTTAAAGGTCAACACCAACACTTTGAATTGTGCTCGGAAATGTACTGGGAGCCAATGTAGGTCTTTCAACACCGGTGTTATGTGGTCTCGGCGGCCGCCCCCAGTCACCAGTCTAGTTGCCGCATTCTGGATTAGTTGTAGTTTCTGGTTCACCTTCAAAGGTAGCCCCACATAGAGCGCATTGCAGTAGTTCAAGTGGGAGATAACCAGAGCATGCACCACTCTGGCGAGACAGTCCGTGGGCAGGTAGGGTCTCAGCCCTGGTAAACAGCTGCCCTGGACACAGAACTGACCTGCACCTCCATGGACAGCTGTGAGTCCAAAATGACTCCCAGGCTGCGCACCTAGAACACTAAGGTGAGATGACACCACTAGGCAATGCTCCCCCCCCATGGAGGTACTTACTTGCCAGGGCCAGCTGTATGGCACAGCATCCTCGCCGTTCACGACTCTCCCCGTGGGGGCATAAGAAGGTTGTCCGCAGCCATAGACTGATGAGAGAGAGGAAGGCAGTTTGCGTTGGGGGGGTCATTGATGGAAATTACCCAAATCTTCCTGCAGATTTCACTTTCCCTGCGATTGTCTGCAAGGCGGGGAAGGCAACCCACATGCCCTCCAACATTTCTCTGATGAAAATAGGGACATCCTATTGTATAAATTTTTTCCTATTTATACTCCGCCCATCTGACCTAGTTGCCCCAGCCACCCTGGCGGCTCCCAACATATATATAAAAACATGATAAAACGTTAAACTTTTAAAAAAACACCCCAAAGGAAACCCCCTTCCCTATTGGGGGTCGGATAACTCCATATCCTCTGACATTTCTCCGATGAAAATAAGGACAGGAAAACGGGGACATTCCGGGATTGTGTCAGAAACCGGGACGGCTTCTGTAAATCCAGGACTGTCCCTGGAAAACAGGGACACTTGGAGGGTCTGAAGCCAGGGTGGCTCCAGATTAGGCCTCAAATACCCCGATGCTAAGGGACGCGGGTGGCGCTGTGGGTTAAACCACAGACCCTAGGACTTGCCGATCAGAAGGTCAGCAGTTGAGCTCCTGTTGCTTGGTGCCTGCTCCTGCCCACCTAGCAGTTCGAAAGCACGTCAAAGTGCAAGTAGATAAATAGATACCGCTCCAGCGGGAAGGTAAACGGCGTTTCCGTGCGCTGCTCTGGTTTGCCAGAAGCGGCTTAGTCCTGCTGGCCACATGACCCGGAAGCTGTACGCCGGCTCCCTCGGCCAATAAAGCGAGATGAGCGCCGCAACCCCAGAGTCAGTCACGACTGGACCTAATGGTCAGGGGTCCCTTTACCCTTTACCTTACCCCGATGCTAGCTTTGCAACTGGCTCCAAACCCCTGGAATCAGGGCCAAAGCAGACGCGTTTCCCCGCATTTCTGCTCTCAAAGCAAACAGGGGATTCTGCATTATACGGCTACGTTATACCCTCAAGACCACAGTCCACCAAGCGGGGGGAGGCCCAGTATGAAAAATGACTACAGGCATGGTGGTGGTCTCAGGTGAATTGAGGAGGTGGGCTTCTAGGTTGCATGCGGGGTGTGGACTTTACCCTCAGCTGCCAACAGGAATGGGACGAAGAACCTCCACATTGTGGCGCGAGCGACCGACTGTCTGGGAGAGTGAGAATGAGGGCAGAGCCTTTAAATACCACCCACCCCGTCTCCAAGTGGGCTGGTTCCTAGCTATTGCAGGAGCGTCCAAGGGCACTGTTCAGCCTTGGACCTGCATGGCACCCGGTACATATCTCTTTTCCCAGCGCAGAGGGACATTAAGGTAGCAGGAGCAGGTCAGGGCAGCTGTCTGGAGTGGGGAAGGTTCCAGGTCCAACCCCCCCAGCACCTCCAGGGACAGCTGCCGATGGAAATTGTACAGCCAGCCAGTGTGGGCAACACTGAAGCAGTTGGTCCAAAGGTCTGGCTTGGGATAAGGCAGGTTCCTATGTTTCTATTCAGATCAGATCTTTATTCAGATCTGAGAATGAGACTCTGAATCTCAGGGCTGTGGGTTCAAGTCCCGTTTTGGATGAAAGATTCCCGCATTCCCGGGACTTGATGATCCTTGTGGTCCGTTCCAACTATTTGTTTGTTGTTGTTGTTTAGTCGTTTAGTCGTGTCCGACTCTTCGTGACCCCATGGGCCAGACCACGCCAGCACTCCTGTCTTCCACTGCCTCCCGCAGTTTGGTCAAACTCACGCTGGTAGCTTCGAGAACACTGTCCAACCATCTCCTCTGTCGTCCCCTTCTCCTTGTGCCCTCCATCTTTCCCAACATCAGGGTCTTTTCCAGGGAGTCTTCTCTTCTCATGAGGTGGCCAAAGTATTAGAGCCTCAGCTTCAGGATCTGTCCTTCCAGTGAGCACTCAGGGCTAATTTCCTTCAGAATGGCTACAGTTCTATAATTCTATGACCTTATTTTTAGAAGGAAGCAGTATCTCCACAGCATTTCCAGGAATTTCTGCAAATGTCCCCTGCCTGGGGAGCTGCTGCCAGCCTGTGTAGACAGTATTAGGTTAAATGGACCCTGTCTCAGTACAGGGCATGCTTCTGTGTTCCTATAGTGAAAGGAAAATCTTTCTCGAAGGGCTCAGTCCTGGACATCAGCTTCTGAAGATGTGAACTGTCCAGGAGAAGTTTGCCTCTGAATATAATAAGAGTGCCTTGCCTTTGCCTCTAGGCACAAGAAGACCCGTAAAGGCACCCTGAGGCATTTCCTCTCAGCGGGTTTAATCAGAGACACCTTGGGTTTTAGAAATGAAACCCCAGCAGTCTGATTTTCATGGCCATTAATGGTAATGTGCAGTGCTGCGATGCTGCTTTTTTTAAACTCGCCAGCTAAAGCATGAAGGGGAGGGGGGGAGAGAAACTTCCCGGCTTTTGCAGAGATCACTAGTGAAATAGGCAACAGCTGTGAATTAAAATGGCATTTGTGAACCACAGGCTCCTCTTTGGTCTGGACTCTAGGTTATATATGAGCCGCCCCAATCACCAAGCAGTCTCCAGGAGCTTTCCCAGAGTACAGTTTCCTTGGGATGAAGGTTGGCAGAGATGATGGTGTCTTTAGGATACAGTGGTACCTTGGTTCTCAAACTTAATCCGTTCCTGAAGTCCGCTCCAAAACCAAAGCGTTCCAAAACCAAAGCGTGCTTTCCCATAGAAAGGAATGCAAAACGGATTAATCCGTTCCAGACTTTTAAAAACAACCCCCAAAGCAGCCATTTAACATGATTTTTACTATCTAACATAAAATGAAAGCAATCTTCCATAAAAATGAAAGCAATAATCAATGTATTGTACTATAAAATAAATAAGACAGTATTGTAGATGGTAAAAATGGAAGAAAAAAAAAATCCTTACCTGAGCTGATGATAGTCATTGTTTGGATGAGGGGCTTTTATCCATTTCCACAGTCACACAATCAATCAATCAATCAATCAATCCATAGCTGAACTGCATTCCACACAGCCACAAAAACAAATGAACCAAAAAAGCCTCAAAAACAAACAAACGCAAAATAAACAGCAAAAACAAAAGCGCCAAACTTAATCTGTTCCGGAAGTCGGTTTGACTTCCGAAATGTTCAAAAACCAAGGCGCAGCTTCTGATTGGTACAGGCGTCCCGGAAACAATAGCCGACAGCCACATCAGACGTTCAGCTTCCAAAAAACGTTCAGAAACCGGAACACTTACTTCCGGGTTTTCGGCGTTTGGGAACCAAGGTACCACTGTATCCGGTTTGACTCACACATATGCACAACCTGAGCATGAGATGGAGGGCTCACGATATTGACAGCCCAACACATCTTGCATCTTCATTCATCACTGCTTTGGCTCCAGCACAGAGGAGGCAGGTATCTGCGTCTCTATCTTCCATCCTCAGCTCTCTGGCTCTTGTTCTCCTACCTAGCAGCTAGGAGAGTGGAGTCCATGGGCCTGGAGGTAACAATCCCTCGTAGCCTGGCTCATTCTTTGGGGATGTTGATGAGGACACTTAAATGGCCAACTAAGGCCATCATCTTACAAATAAACTTGTCGGACCAGTTCAGTGATAGCATCCTCTCTTAGATTCTAACCCTTGCTTTCTCGAAAGATTGGAAAAGACTCAGGGCATCATCCATACTGATATTGTCAGGCTGCATCTCTGATCAATTTTTGGGAGGCAGAGTGGTAATGGAGGACGTTTGGGGCAGTAAGGGTAAGTGAGGGTCTAATTCAGGGTTGGGGAATATCTGTGGCCCTGCAGATGGTTTTTGGACTGGCGTATAAATCCCTGACATAAATAAAGGTGCTCCGATTCCAGCTCCCATCAGCCCTGGCAATTGTGGTCCGACAGTGTCTGCAAGGTCACAGGACCCCTGTCCCTGAACTTGACCGTCACTTGCCGTTAGTGCCCCAGTTTTAGGAGTCAATAAAGATGTCGATGGCGGAGAAGGAACATTTCCCCTTGAACAGGACAGAGGTGAGAGATCAGTAGTCATAGCTGTGCCTTGGAAACCACAATTATTATTATTATTATTATTATTATTATTATTATTATTATTTTATTTATACCCTGCCCATCTGGCTGGGTCTCCCCAGCCACTATGGGTGGCTCCCAAAAGAGCACTAAAAACAGAATAAAACTTCAAACATTAAAAACTTCCCTAATCAGGGCTGCCTTCAGATGTCTTCTAAAAGTCAGATTGTTGTTTATCTCTTTGACATCTGATGGGAGGGTGCTCCACAGGGCGGGTGCCACTACCGAGAAGGCCCTCTGTCTGGTTCCCTGTAACCTCACTTCTTGCAATGAGGGAACCGCCAGAAGGTCCTTGGCGCTGGACCTCAGCATCCAGGCAGAACGATGGGGGTGGAGACGCTCCTTCAGGTATACTGGGCTGAGACTGTTTAGGGCTTTAAAGGTCAGCACCAACACTTTGAATTGTGCTCAGAAACGTACTGGTAGCCAATGTAGATCTTTCAGGACGGGTGTTATACGGTCTCGGCAGCTGCTCCCAGTCACCAGTGTAGCTGCTGCATTCTGGGTTAATTGCAGTTTCTGGGTCCCCTTCAAAGGTAGCCCCACATACAGCGCATTGCAGTAGTCCAAGCGGGAGATAACTAGAGCATGCACCACTCTGGCGAGACAGTCCGCGGACAGGGAGGGTCTCAGCCTGCGTACCAGATGGAGCTGGTAGACAGCTGCCCTGGATACAGAATTGACCTGTGCCTCCATGGACAGCTGTGAGTCCAGAATGACTCCCAGGCTGCGCATCTGGTCCTTCAGGGGCACAGTTACCCCATTCAGGACCAGGGAATCCCCCACACCCGCCCGCCCCCTGTCCCCCCAAAACAGTACTTCCTGTCTTTTCCAGGACTAAAAACATTCTTCCTGTCTCTCCCCCCTCTTCGCCTCCCCTCTTCTAAACCTGCATGGCCTGGGACCCATAGCAGGTGTCAAGGCCACTGGGATGGCAGATCATTAACCAGCAGCCGATCTGGGAAGGTTACCCTGTAGCCAGCTGGGCAAGCAAAGGGGGGACGTGGGGTGGAGAACCATCTCTGTGAAATAGCAGTGGGCTCCCTGAACCCGAGGTGAAGTCAAATGAGGACGCCGGGTATTAGGCGGGGGGGGCAGCTGTGGAGGGGGCAGGCAGCAGCTCCCTCATCATTCCCTTTAAACTAGCCTGCTCTGCGCCTCCAAAGCTACAGACCGGCAAACATCAATTCCTTGCCCTCTGATGCAGCTGCCGCACAAATGTCGCCCGCCTGAAATCCTAGGACTCTGCTGCCGGCCAGTGTAGAAAATACTGAGCTATGTGGAGCAAGGGTCTGACTCCGCCTTCCAGCCCCACATCTGGGGTGATGGGGGCAGCAACTTTGGGTTCCACAAGGTGGAATAGGCTGCGATCTGTGAGCTCTTCTGGCCTGAACCCAGGATGAGTGATTATGTCAATTTCAGTTTCTCCTTTCCCCAATCTTGAATTCAGTTCTCCACATCAGCCTATGTATCATATATCATTGTTACTGTTTTCAATGTGCATGTTTTTATGCCATATTTTTTTTCTGACAGAAACATGTTTTGCAAAACAATTTTCCTTAATCCAGTGGACACTCGGGTTGTGAATGTGATCCATGTGGGAGGCGACCCGCAGCATTCGCAATCCGCAGCACCGCGTCTGCACACGCGTGGGAGTTGCGATTCAGCGCTTCTGCACATGCAGAAAGCACAATTTAGTTTTTCTGCACATGCGCGAGCACCGAAACCCGGAAGTAACCCGTTCCAGTACTTCCAGGTTTCGGTGCATCCGTAACCCGAAAATGCGCAACCTGAAGTGTCTGTAACCCAAGGTATGACTGTACAATGCATCTACAGATTCAGTATGCATTTTTATGGACACTTCACCCCAGGTCGCGCTGTGGGTTAAACCACAGAGCCTAGGACTTGCCGATCAGAAGGTTGGCAGTTTGAATTCTTGTGACTGGGTGAGCTCCCGTTGCTCGGTCCCTGCTCCTGCCCTCCTAGCAGTTCAAAAGCACGCAGTGCAAGTAGATAAATATGTACCACTCCGGCGGGAAGGTAAACGGCATTTCTGTGCGCTGCTCTGGTTCGCCAGAAGCGGCTTAGTCCTGCTGGCCACATGACCTGGAAGCTGTACACCGGCTCCCTCAGCCAGTAAAGCGAGATGAGCACCGCAACCCCAGAGTCGGTCACGACTGGACCTAACGGTCAGGGGTCCCTTTACCTTTACCCCAGTGCTTTTTCCCAAAGAAAATGTTTAGGGGGGCTCTCTACTCATATTGAAATACTGCCCCTAAATGAAGCCAAACTTAGATTCACAAAATGTTTAGGGGTATGCGCACCCTTGTGTCACCCCAGAAAAAAAGGACCGCTTTACCCTAGTTATATGTATTTATATATATATATATAAAAGATACACAAATACTTGGCCGTAGAACTGCATTGCAAATTCTGGAGAAGTGCATATTTTTGAAGGATTGCCCTGTTTTGGCTCTCATACTATTTCAGAAAGTGCTAACCGGGTAAATGAG